ACGTAAAATGTGTAATTACCACTCTCAGGAACCTGTAGAAGGAAGGACGAAAAACAACCTAAGGCTACACGAGATTGCATTTTCGGTTACTTCTTTTCATAGAAGCTGTTTTACTACCTCTCTGTTTTTCCACCCGTTCAAGGTCACGCGATTTTGTACCAGTCCCATTGCACGAATAGAAGTTCTGAAAAAGCAAATGCACTTTTTCGACTTCTGTAGTCGTTCCGATAGTGAAACCCTACCTCAGATTTTTCTGTTGTACGATTTGGGTAAATGATGTTTTCACGAAAGCTTAACGGTGAGGCAGTTATGAACTACACAGAAAGATCTGTTGTTGACTATAGAGACGATTTTAAAGAGTTGGTTGATGACCTGTACTCACAATTATAATGAAAAACTTACCTGTAAGTAACCAGTCAAGCGTTGAATGTAATTTTCTGCCACGTTTACCGGTGCATCGAAATCTCGAAGAATTATTTGGCTTTGTGGCGTATATTGGAAAGCAGGATTTTCGCGCATAGTTGATGTTTTTGTAGTGTCGTAGTTAACGTTATACCATGCATCCCGCCAAACTCCGTGGACCATAGTTACGTGCACATTTTACTTTAACTTTTTTTTTAATTAACTGCAACTGGTGAAACTTACCAACTGTGCGAATCACAACCTGGCAAAGAACTAGCGTGACATTGCTACCAATCAACTTGAATGTCACGTAACGTCCACGCGCTGGTGGAGAACAGCGTACTTTGTAATCCCACGACTTTCCATAGGACACAAACTTGGTACAAGATGGATGTAAACTGGTTTCATCAGTGGATACGCCGACGCTAAGAATGCCATTATCTCGTTGACAGCAGTCGTGATTTTCAGTGATCTCAACAGACTCAACATAGAGGGGCTTTTCAAGGGTCACCGTCCACCAAGGGCTGGACTCCTTTTCGAAATGAAGGCAAGAGAAAAGCTATAAAATAATTCTAAACAGGAAAACAAACGCGAAATAACACGACGAAAAGTAGATAAATAATGAGAGGAACGACAAACAAGTCAAATATTCAACAAACAAACTACCATCACAAAGACGGACAGAAGACTGTCTGAGTCACCATCAATGAAAGTTACATATAATTTCATTTGCTTTCTTAAACGAACTGGCGATGTTTAAAATATAAGTCATCTGCTGTCTCTCATTTCACATTATCTCTTACCTTTTTCGATCTAAAACATGTGGAAAAGGATCTGTCAATAGCCAGATAAGGATAATTTGGTAGCAGAACGCTCGAGCTTTGGGGCAAATTTTGACGCGATAGGAGCTTTTCTGAGAGAAAAAAATGGCGAATCAAAGAATCAATGGAGAAGTTACTGCTTTGCTTCGTTGATACCAGTTAATTATAAAAAACTAATTTTGGAAGAGTGAGAATTTTTTTTAAAGTTTTAGGTCGTATCATAAATCGGTTTAAATTAGGTTTTCATGTTTTAGAATGACAGTTTTGCTGAAAAGTCAATATGATAACAATCTAATTGGCTATTGTATGCCAAATATCTCACATGAAGTATAGACTATGGGACATACCAGCACGTTTGGAGCACAGAGCATTCCTGTACGTTTTGCAATCTTCATTCTTGATTCGCGACGAATTAGCTGAGAGAACTACACAACTCTGGTGTCCATGGTAACTAGAAGGATATCCACGCATCCATAAGGAGGCGTTCAACGGGTTGCCATCGATCCAAGCCCAGGTGTATCGCGCCGAAAAACCAATATGCAACGTGTCCGGCTTTGGTCTCATTTCTTCCAGCTTGTTAGATAAGGCAGATCTCAAGCCTTCCAGTGATACTTTGGCTAGAGTACCACCTTTTCGACTGCAGTCTATTTGAGCGTCTTTCCATGAAAGTGCGCTCTGGGTGTGAATAGAGAAACAACTGCCATGGAGATGGAAGAAATTTGGACCACATTCGAATTGTGCTGTTACAAATAGTTAAGGAAAGGACCTTTAATATGAGACTTCCAAGACATTTTCATAAACCAAGACTCTATAAAGTCCTCTGTTTGGTAATTATTACTTATACAGACTAAGTCCTTTTTTTGGTCAGTGAAAGGTTTCTTTAAAGACCTATAAATCCGTACTTTTAAAGGTTTTTCAGCAGTTTTGGCTTTGAAAGGGACGCTGTCACGGGTTGACATGCGCAGTAGCATACACTCTCTCCGAGACTTGTCACACTCGACAGCCATTATGGAAATATCGGTGAGTTGAAGAATTCTGCATATATTTTGCGTTTAAGTCAAGTTCATCCGAAGCAAATGCTCACGAAAGTGAGTTTCTTTTACTGAGGAACCTTCGGTGATCTTTTGCAAATGTAAAAGTGCTTGTACGACGAAGCGCTAAGAAAATAGTTCTCGTGGGTGCCCGTGCAAAGGGAGAAACGTGCTGTGTACAGATGAATGTAAATGTGCAACAAGCAATAAACCTTGCAGAAACAGGGTATGCATATAAAGTTGAATACATACATATAAAGTTGTATACATTCATTTCTTTTGTGGCGTGAATGTCCAAGAAGCGTACTAAATAATTTGTGTATTCCCATTCTTCAGGATTCGGACGAACCGTCGTCATCTGCCTATGAAAACCGTAGAGTTCGCCCGAGGCTTACTTGTATTCCATTTATATTGTGTAGTAGAATAAACATCTGCCTTGAAAATGCTACAAATTTCTGTGATATCTGGCATTATTTTATTTCCCTATCAGTAAAATCGCTGTCACTGAAAGACTCATAACCTTCATCAAATTTTGCCTGCAGCCACAACTTAAATGTCTTTTCTTCCGCATAAATACAGTTATGGTTTCTCAGCCACGCTTTCTTGTATTCCCCACTATCTTCAGCCTTTCGTTTCCGCCCTGAGTTGATGCGTTTACCACCATGTCCGGATCCTCCGCTAGACGCCATTTTGAATTTGTGAATGCCAGTAACTTGAAAAAGTCAGGCTGACTTTTTCAAGTTTCGATCAGCTACACGAGCATGCGCAGACCGTGACCGTGTCCCTTTAAGGATATACTTGCATTTGAGGCACGTAGATATATTCAGCGGAAAGACTGGGGCTTTTTGACAATTCAAGCAATAGAAACGTTTTGAATACCTTCACTCAATGATTTGTGAGTAGAAGTATTCAACAACTCACCAGTTTGATTACACCTTGACTTGACTTTGATTATTTGGTCCACAGATAATGCCTGATCGTAAACCTGTAAACGGGAGATCTTGCCACGAAAGAACCTATTCCATTTGGTCGAACCTCCAATCAGCACTTCTGAAGCATTACCTAGTTCCATTTTTACTTTGAGAACTTTTTGGGTGACTACGCTATTATTGACAAAAATGGTTGCAATCCCTGTGTGGTAATCATATGTTGTTCCAATAAAGTTCCATTTGTCTGAGTTCAAAATGTTTTTCTTGTGGAGAGAATATTCCTTTAAAGTTTTCCTATCTATGTATGT